TAAAAAAACCTTTTAACCATGTCCATAATAGATTTATAACCTAACCCACTTTAAGTGTAAGGACCATAAGCAAAATCTCAAAAGCTCCAGTGAGTCCTCTTAGAGATCGGAGACGAGCCCCAAAAAAATCTATTAAGAAATCTATCAATTCTGGAACATACCTCAACAATCGGATTAGTAGTTTGGAGTAAGTAGAATTGCATATAACATCAAACCCCCCCCCAACCCCAACAAAACAAAAAAAATAGTATTTTTTATATTTAAAATAGAGCCCACATTCACTTTCAAATTTATTAGGAGAAATATGAATAACTTTGACATTGTTAATGGCTTCATTACAAAAAATAATGATGTCATTAGCAACGGAAAGATGAGAGACATTCAAACCAACACTAGTTTTATAGTAAAGGGTTTGATAATGCATAAAACGTTGATGCATGGCTCTAGATAAATATTCAACAACAATAATATAAAGGTATCAAGAAAGAGGATCCCCTTTCCTCACCTCCTGACCACCTTCATTACTATGCTTAGACTTACCTTTTTGATGTCTAAATTCTTCCTCAAAATATTGGAGATTAATAAGATTATTCTTGACAAAAATAAGGTTGTTCTTATTAGTATCACACTAGTTATTAATAAGAACCTCATCAAAATGACTGACTTCACTTTCAGCTTTACTCATCAAAATGATTGACTTCACTTTCAGCTTTACAATATTATCAAAGATATTATCAAAAACTTTCTTATTCCACCATCTTAACTCTTACTTGAGCCTTTTAAGCTCAAGAGCAAACACAACCATCTCATTAAATCCCTCCTAATATAAAATAGGAGCCTTCCAATTAGATTTAACCACCTCAAATAAATTAAGAGAAATAAATCACATGATTTGAAATCTAAAAGGAAAGGCCACAGAATTGATTCTTTGACTAATACTCATAAAGGGAGGGGTATGTTCATTTCCAATGTAAAAATATATTAATTTTTTAAGAGACGTGTTTCCCGAATTTGTAAAATATTTTGAACAGATACTTAGAAGAATATTTGCAAAAATACAAAGGTAAAAAGGAAGCTGGGAAAAACTTAGCAAGAGGCCCCAGAAGATAATTTTCTCGATGGGAATGAAAGTTAGGATTAGCCATTACTAGAAGTACCAGCAACGTATTCGCTAGGATTTCTGGTGTCTGAATTCTATTATCGTTTGCCCATCCAAGGGGTATTCCAGTATACTGTAAATCTCTTTTGATATGCTGCAATTTTTATAGGAATTCAAAATCTTTTTTTGGTTCATTTTTTGGTCTTCATGAACGGATTCCGACATGATTATTCCCAAGAGATGGAAATTCATTATAAATGCATTTTATTAATGTATTTTGATAATTCTCGCATATGTTTTCTATCGGAAATGACTACTTTCCTATTGTGAACTGCAACAAAGTCAGCAAAAAAGGTTAGGGTCACATTTATATTCACATATATGTGATCATCAGAAGATTTATGAGCCATATATTTTTTATACTAGCTATATCAATTCCATACAACACATGTTAAGAATATTCTTGTTGTGATTCAGTGTTCCTCTTTTTGTTTTTAGAGTTGGAAGTAACAATTATAACATAATAAATAATGACCTACTACAGAAAAATCGTTTATTAAAGGCGGAAATAGACACTTTTCCGACAAAATATCAGTGTTGAGGCGGTTTTCCAGCGGATTTTTTTCCGCCGGTATAAGTCATGTAGGAAACGCAATGCATCAGCACTTTCCTGCCCATAATTATTTCCAGCGGCTTTCCGGTAGCTTTTCGGCTATTTTCCATTTTGATTGCGGTGGTGGTCAGAGCGGCGGCTTCCGCATAATAGCCACTGGAGATTTCCCCAGCGGTTTTCTGGCGATCAGACCACCAGTATTTAATGACTTTCCTGTATGAACATACAACTTACCCATAAAATTTTCAATATTTGGTGCAAAATGTAGATAGCTTCCAATCCCTCCAATGTATTGGAGACTCCATTTGCGTCCAAATATTTAACAAGTAACGTATCTCTTTTATTTTTTTATCCATTTGTTTAGAGTCTTCTTTCCTCTTTTTTGTCAATTAGAAAATAGCCTAGTTTAGATTTTATTCATAATTCATTTACTTTTTTGCGGTTAATAATTACTCTTTGAATTAGTGCTGTCATTGACACCAAAAATTTGGTAGCATCAAATTTCAAAGCTGTGAAAAATGAATGATGAATTGTTGGGAGTGAAGATGTGGATAAATTAGATGTTCATCCTTAGACGTGCAAAGCTGGAAGAATATTATCGTGCAATATGAAACTATACTACAGAGTGTAGTTGTTATCTAAGAAAATGTGTATTTGTTTATTGACGTTAGTCCTATGGTTAAATGATTATCATAATAATAATAAATTGGGTGGAGCACTTTTATGATAATCCTCTTAAATTACTAGCTCAAAATGCTAAAATTGAAGAACACAAGTCCTTCATGGGGGATCATTTTTATTATGTTGATAATGTTAATGTAAAAGTGAAATTACATCAACATTGTACCGCATTTCTCTTATTTTAATCAGATGTCTTAAAAGCATATTATGGTTTTTCATTTTATATTTATTATATGTAAATAAATAAAATTATATTAATTTTTGGAGTGCTAGAAAATTCTTGATGATAGAGTGATAGAGTGAGCGAGTCATAACTAGGTTTCCGTGTTTACCCAAATCCGACATGGAATTTGAAATAGATCAAAAATCAATACCCGTACCTAACCCGTTCTTCAAACTGGTTGACCCTAATCAGAAATTTTTTGTTCGGTTTCGAGTCGGGTTTTTGCTTTGTGTCAATTTTTGACACCCATACGAACATTGTAGACTATTTAAACTTAGTCAAGCCTCGTGAGATTTCCCTTTTTCTAAGCTGTTTACATAAAACTAAGGTGTTTCTTGCATTTAACTCTTTTATCTTTGTGCGATGTGGATCTTTTGTAAAGCTAGAATGCAAAACTCCATCTATCACCAATGAATTTTCTAACATGTAACATTAATATGTACTTTTTTTTTTAATTTAGGCTTCATTTGGGACAGCTTTCTTACGGCTTTCTAAAATAATTTTCCAGTACAAAAATTTTTTATTGATTAATTTTTTGTATTAAAAAATTATTTTAAAAGAAGCAAAAAAATTGTCACAAACGAAGCCACAATTGCAACATGTTCAACATGCATGACACATATATTCTACTAGTAAATTCTTATTAATTAGTCTACTAATCAAAATAAAATTTACAAATAGAAAAGATCACACAATAAAATCAACTAAAAAAATATTTTTAATCAATAAATTAAAAAAATCCAAGCATATAAATCAAGGGCTTTAATGCAAGCTTTTAAAGAGGTTAAATAGGTACAAAGGTTTAAAGTAAACTGTTTCAATAATTTAAACTTTAGTAACTAATAATTGCTTTCTTGATCCTCAATTTTGTAGCCATTATAGCTTCATTTGGGATTGCTTTTTACCTGTTTCTTAAAATAATTTTAGTATAAAAATTTTAATTTTTTTCTAGAAAACTGCTTTAAGAAGCAATAAAAAAGTCATCCCAAACAAAACCTATGTCTTTAAATAGTGGTTGTTGTAAACATTATTCTCAAGAACAAAATTTAATTGTTCCTATTTCTTAAGTAACAAATACATTAGTAATAAAATTAGTTAAAAATTCTTTCTAAAGATTGATTGAACTCCATTTTATGTGTATTCATCAATCATTACTGTTTAAAAAAGTTATACAATCCACTATATTATTTTGATTCATCTATCTATCAAAATTGAAGTATAATCCTATTTACCTTTGGATTTGTCTGATTAATATAGAGGTACCTAGGGGTGCAAATGAGTCGAATCGATCTAGAGACAGGGGTATTTAAGCCTAAGCTGACTGTCAAACACTGATCTTGAACTCGAGTCTAGCCCGAGCTCGACTCGCCAGGATAGAAAGCATATCGAGCTGCTCGTCTAGTCAGAGCTCCGATCCTGCATCTTCCCACATTCGCTTCCCCACTTTTTTGTTTTCCCGCCCACCTTCTCATCTTCTCACCTACCTTCTAATCTTTCCGCCAGCAGGCCGCAAAGGAAATTATGTTCCGTCTTCTCGTAGATGAACTCAATTCCGCGAGCTAAGATTCGAGTTTTGTTTTCCCTCCAGCAACGAAAACTCAGTTCCATTTTCTTGCCCCCAACGGAAACTCATTCCACTCAACGAGCTCACGAGTAGATCGGAGGGCTGCTCGAACTCTAGCTTGATAAGCCGTCGAGTTCGATAAGCTCAACTCGTTGAGCTCGAACTGGTTTGACTCGATTGCACCCATAAAGGTACCCAAATAAATTACATTTTTTTTATAACAATATTTTTTTTTAGTTTGGGCAACATCAAAGAATCATTTGTAGCAATGCTTTAGAAAATATTAATTTGACGTTGCTCCTATTTAATAAACAAATGAAAAAAGAATTGATGAGTAAGAGAATAAATAATAAAAAAAGTATTATTTTTTATCTTTTTTGTCATTTAGTTATATCACTTTTATTTTATAAGAAAATAAGAGGATTATATTACCTGATGCAAAAAATTTAAATATTTATATTAATATAAAGTTAAAATTTTTTATTGGCTATTTAACCATGAAATTCTTATTTCAAATAAATATATCATTAATGTTTTTTTTAAGAATAAAATACTAATTTTTAAATAATATTTGAAATAACTAAAATATCAATAAATTATTTAAAAATAATTAAAATTTAAATAGTAAATATATAAATATGCTAAAAAACATTTATCGCGTAATATCTATCTACTCAAAATTTGCTCAAAACGAGCGCCCATGGCTTTAGAAGTCAACACTTTTGTACACGTGAGAACGGAGCGGTGCAAGAGCTGGCATTCACATCACCTAAAGTACCCATCTCCTTCTCTCTCTCAACCTCTTTCTCTCTCTGTACAGCAACATTGTGAACCTTACCGTCTCCCTTTCTATCTACCTCTCGAAGCTATAGCTTCATCCCCCAGCAGAGAAAATCAGTCTCTGTAACATCAACAGCTACATCAGCAGCAAGCAACAGCCAAGCAAATCCCATCATTCCTCTCCTTTTCCCCCCTTCCCTTCTTCACATTCTTTCCTTTCCTTCTTGTACTTTTCTGTGTTAGAACCATAGGCCCACAGCGATCGCCCCACCTATTATCTTGCCTTTTAAGCATTTCATCCCTTTTCCCGATATTCCATCTTACTTACCTTCCTGCACCCCCTCTCCTTCGTCCACTCCACCCCTCTTTCTCTCTCTCCACAACTCTCTCCTCCATGCCTGGATGTCCACAGCAAGGTAATCCTTGTTTACTCATCTTATGCTCAGTTGTTCGAATCTGGAATCTTCTCTTTTACCACGTTTTTGTTATCATCTCTTCTTTTGCAGGCAGAAGCTGCAAGAAGACATAAGAGAGAATATTAAAAGGCAAGCTGATGCTTCCAATCACATGGCTCGACACAGTCTCCTCGGCTCCGTTGGTGTAACCTTAAATACAATAACTCCCTGCGCCGCCTGCAAGCTTCTTCGCCGCCGATGCGCCCAAGAATGCCCTTTCTCCCCTTACTTCTCCCCTCATGAACCCCAAAAATTTGCGTCTGTTCACAAAGTTTTCGGCGCCAGTAACGTCTCTAAGATGCTCATGGTATGTAGTTACATATATGTGTACGAATTTGATTTGGTACTAATGAAAAAAAAAAGTAACTTTTCTTTTTAATCATCAGGAAGTTCCCGAGTCTCAGAGAGCCGATGCGGCTAACAGCCTTGTCTATGAAGCTAACGTGAGGCTTCGAGATCCGGTTTATGGGTGCATGGGTGCGATCACGGCGCTGCAGAGGCAGGTTCAAGCTCTTGAGGCGGAGCTCGCCGCTGTGAGAACCGAGATTCTGAAGCACAAGTATAGACATGCAGGAGTCCACGCTGTTCTTTTCGCCTCATCCACCGATGTCTCGGTTGCCGAACCACCACCTATACACGGCTTGCCGCCGCCTCCACCGCCTCCTCTCCCCTCCGTTATCAGAGGCACGATTTCTTCAGCTATGTTTCCTCCAGCTCCATCTAGCTCCACTGACTACAGCTCTATCACAAACGAAAATGTCACGTATTTTGGATGATAACCTTGCAAATTATTAGCACTGTATTGTTTTTTTTTTTTTGGGGGAAATATATAGTCTTTGAGAAATAATGCAATTTAAAGAGGATGGGAGGTATTCATTTGCTAGCTGATGAAAATTGTAATATCTTTTATGTTGGCTATATTTAAGCTCTTGATGATGTTTTTCTTTTCTATATCATTGTTTCTTTTGGTTACTCAAATCTTTATATATTATTGAATAGTTGAGATTTATATGCTGAGTGATCTGTTTTTTTATTCTTGCAATCCTCTTTTTGGATTGGAAATGCGGAAAGCAGGAAAAGCATAATATATTCTGATCTGATTAGAGCCTTCTTTGCTTGATTTTTCAATCTTCGATGTTGCTGGTGTGAAGATAAAAGGCCCAGTTGCAGAATAAATATACCCTTGTACATAAGGGGAGAAGATTCAGAATGCTTTTTCCCGTGGAAAGTGGAAGCCCACTTTAGGTAATGGTTCCCCACCTATACCGAGTGGGCAGATCGCATGTACATGGGAAGTGGTCTACTGTTGTGTGCATAACCTTTCACATGTTTGTCAGAAAACTGAAGATCTCGAAGTCCTATACATTTAATGGAAGGGGACAAAAGGGTTTATTTCTAATTTGATCGGCCAGTTTCTGCAAACTAGAACCTTCTGAAATGGATAGCTTTTTTTTTTTTTTTTTTAAGGGAATTGAAAATCTTGGCTTCTTTTTAAAAGAGATGAGAAGTTCCCCTGTGCTATTATCTATTGACTATTTAAGGGCTTTTAGAGAGATTTGTAGATTTTGGGTGATGAAGAGTTCTATTTAAGCAACCCAATCTAATTTGTGTTTGAATATTATTTCCGGGCAAATCAAATCTTTTTCTTTCTTAAATAATAATTTTCAATTATCAAACTTAACATAATCATTTTTATGAAATCCCAAGGAAGCTTTGTATAATTTGTGTATATGAATATCTGCACTTGCTAAGGAAAGAAAAGTTTAAAACTGACTTGCAATGCATACACTTTCTGCCCATATAAGTATCAAATGGTTATATAAACATATATATATATATATATATATATATATATATATAAGATTTCAGCTTTTAGGAATGTGCCACCTATAGAAGAGAAAGCAAAGTACCAAATCTTACAACATATGGTAATTAAAACATACCCAAAGATAAGAACAAAAAATAACAGCACTGTGAGAAACAATTTATTAATTATCTGTTCTCCAAAGAAGATAAGAGAGGAGAATAGATTTGTTTTCTCTCAAGGGCATTAGGAAATGAGCTTTTTTTTTGGCTAATAACGATTTTCATGATGTAGGTGTAAGTGGTCCAAGATTTACTTGGTGTAACAAGAAAGAAGGAACATCAAGAATTTGGGAAAGATTGGATAGATGTTTGATTAACTCGGCCGCCATTCAAAGTGTTCCATTTGCTCTGGTTAGGCATCTTGCAAGTGTTGCTTCGGATCATTGTCCAATTGTTTTCAAGATTAATGAATGTCCTTGTCCTCAAATGAAGTTCATCTGGTTTGAAGATGTATGAAAAATGTTTCCTGCTGCTTGGAATGTGGTCTTCAAAGCATAGAAGAAATCTGATTTTGGTGATGATGCAGAAATTCTAAATAGGAAGATGAAGAGATCGTTGAAGGCTTTGTATTTCTAGAATAAGAATAAGTTGAAGAGCTTAAATGAACTCAAGGAGTTGAAGAGGGAGATTTTGTGTCTTGAATTAAAAGAAAGTGATGCTGGTCTTTCATTTGAAGATTTGAAGTAGCTTAAAAGGAAGATGAATAAGTTGAATGTGAGATGAAGTCGGCTAGCTACTTAGTGGAATCAGAGGGCTAAGGTGAGGTGGGTTGATGAAATGGATTCTAACTCCAAATTCTTCCATAATTATGCTTCAACTAAGAAGAATGGTAACTTCATTAGAAAAATAAAATATGAGAATATGCAGTTAGTTGAAGATCAACAGGATATTGAGGCCATGTTCTTTGAGTATTTTAAGAAGAAATCGAAATCCAGAAAACGTGATTTAACGAGCTGGCATGTTGCTTTTCTAGATCATAGAATTGCCTTAGAAGAAGGTTATAAGCTAGATGAGGATTTTACTTTCTTTAAAATTTATGAAGTAGTGCAGCAAATGGCGAATAACAAGTCTCCTGGGATTGATGGTATGACTACATCTTTTTAAAAATTTTGTTGGGAAATTGTTAATAATGACACTTAGAGAGAAATTGATAGTTTCTTTAAATTGGGTCATATGAATCTGATGTGGAAGGATATGCTTATTGTGATAATTCCTAAAGTGAAAAATCCCATGGAACCTTCTCAGTTTAGACCAATTAGTTTATGTCAAACTATTTATAAGATTGTGGCAAGAATGTTATTGAATAGTTGAAGTGGTGTCTTCCTAGAATCATTACTGAAGATCAGGTTGCCTTTATCCCGAGAAGATCGATGTCGAACCATTTACGCCCAGGAAATGTTTCATAAATTTAAATTTTGTACATCTAAGAAGGGTCTTATGACAGTCAAGATTGATATGGAGCAAGCATATGATAGTATGGGTTGTTTGACACTAACTAAACAATGGATTGGTTTGGTTTTCCAATCAGATTCTCCAAGTTGATCATTGAATGCGTGAAGAATGATAGATTTTCTATTTTTATAAGAGGATGTCCAATTGGATTAATGCAAAGAGTGGATCCAGACAGGGATGCCTGCAATGCCCATTCTTATTTATTATGTGCTCTCATATTTTATCAAATCCCATTCTTCAAAGAGGTGTTGAGTTGGGTATTAAGATTATGCCTCAAGTGGAGAAAATTTCAAGTTTATTGTATGCTGACGATGTTCTTCTCTTTTCTAATGCTTCTCATAAATAGACAGAAAATATGAAGGATGTTTTGATCAATATTGTAGTTGGATGGGACAGAAAGTGAACAAAAAGAAATCTTAAATCCTCTTTGGAAAATCAGTTGATGTGGCAAGAAAAAGGAATATTTCTAAGATGCTTCGTTTTAGAAGCGTCAAGGAGTTTAAGTATATGGGAGTTAAAATAGATTTGAGAGGATGAAGTCTTCAAATTTTCAAGAAATCATGGATCATGCTTTGGAGAAATTTAATGTTTGGGGAAACAAATGTCTCTCCTTACCTTAGAGAATTTTACTTGTCAAATCTTCACTCTTATCTCTTCCAATTTTTCTAGCTACTCATTCTTTAGTTCCAAAAGGTGTGATATTGAATCTTAATTTTGTAGAACATTCATTTCGCATAAAGATAAGGGTAAGAATGTATTACATTATGTGGCATGGGCTGATTTGTGTAAACCAAAGATGCTGGGAGGAGCGAGCATTCATTCGATCCTTAACAAAGTTGGTTCTTTGAGAGCAAGGTTGGCTTGGAGTTTTATCCAGAATCCCTTATCACTCCTTAATCACATTATTGCTATTAAATATGTTAGGGATGTGTGGAATGTGAACATTAAAAGAGGATCCTCATCGACTTGGCAAATATAGTGGATAGTGCTAGCCTTCTTAAGCTGGTTACTAGATGGAGGGTGTCCAATCGTAACAAGATTAGTATTCTTGATGATGCTTCGATCTTGGATAAAGAGTTGAATAGATGGATTACATTTATGGATCATGCTGGTTTATATGATTTGAAAGTTCAAAGCTTATTAACTTCTGATTGAAGATGGAATTATTCAGAAATTCATAAGTTCTTCAATGTGGATTTGGCTTTCTTAATTATGCAGGTTCAATATTTTCTATAGCTGATGAATATCATGTTGAACTGGTGCAGCAATACTCGGGAAAATTAATTTCTTCTATGGCGTATCTTGATGGATTGGAAGATATTTATGTGGAAGACACTGATGTTGTTATGAAATATCTTTCAAAATTGAAACTCAAGCCAAAGATTTATTATTTTTGGTGGAGACTTAGTAAGGATGCTCTTCCTACAAATGAATATCTTAATTATAGAGATATTACTGAGATTACTTCTTGTGTAAGAGGATGTGATGAGATTGAGAGTATATCTCATATATCCATGCAATGTAAGTACCTCATTAAGATTATTATGAAAATTAGAGAATGGGGGTTCAATGTTCTAATTTTTCAATCTATGGAGGAAGGTGTTGTGGAACTTAGAAGACTTTCAAATATGAATCCAATTATTGTGCTGGTCTACATGACTGCGGTGTTCTTTTCTTTGAAGAATAGGAATGCTGTTAAACATGGAGGTGCTGTTTCTTCAGTTTCAGTGACCTCAGCAAATATCTTGGTAACAGTTACATATTGAAGAGTTAATCCAATACTAGAAGACTGGGATGTTAGTCTCCATTCAGAGTTTTTGAATAAATGGCATCCCCCATCACTAGATTGGATTAAAATCAATGTGAATGCTTCTTTGCGAAGTTCTAATCATGGAGGAATTGGAGAAGTGATTTGGGATGTTAAAGGTAGATTCTTACTTGCTTTTGGCAAAAAAATGAAGCATTGAGATACAGCTCAGTGGGAAATTCAATCAGTGCTATTCATTAAATAAAATCTACAAGATTGGCTATTCGATTACAAAGGAGTGGTTATTGAAGGTGATAATGTAAATATCATTAAATTAATTTGTGACTCGATGAAGGCTTCTAATTGGAAGAAAGAGAGCTTCTGGAATAAGGATCTTTGGTTTTTAAACAAGTTTAATAATGTTATTTTTCATTTTGTTCTTAGAAGTTGTAATAAGGTGGCAGATTGGTGTGCCACATTTGCTTTAAGTAGAGACTTTATTTGGGATATTTTTTATTTTAATAAAATTCCTTCTTTATTAAGTTATTTGTTAAAGAAGGAATGTAATAGTTCTCATGAGTAGTTTCTAATAGTTTATTCTTTTAATGCAAATTGCATCTTAAAAAAAGGGAAAAAAATAAATGAGTCAATAAAACGTTGTTGTAATAATACAGAATATTAAAGTTGGTAATATGTTCTGTAGAAAGCATTTTAGTTTTGATCATTAAATTAGTTATCATCATATTAAGAACTATTATAGTTGTAGAAGGAATAAAGAGTTGCCTCCACTATTAGGGAAGGATTTTTTTGGGTTCCCCATATTTAAGTGACCATCTT